AAGCTTTCAATATTTGTTATAACAAAGCACTGGGGCCATTCCACTTTTTTTTAATCATATCTTGCATATATCTATGTTACACTGAAGCATACTCAAGCATTATGGAGAAAATGAGCTGTTTAGTTTTTGTGAAAGAGAAGCATTCATTATCAATAATGTTTATTCTGATGAAATTTTAAGCAAAATATGTTTATTACTTATTCTTTGACTTTAGAACTGCAAACTCTGATAAATTGCATATTGCTGGCAATTTTCATCAGTTTTGTAGGAGTTACTTTGATGTTACTTTCAGCAGTATTCATGAAAATTTAAACGATATGATTACTTACAGCTTATGCTTCTTCAATATCTATGAAATTTTTAAAAAAATTACATATGATGAAAATCATTTGAAACTCAAGTATTGTTTAGAAATTAATAAAGCTGAGAAATCAGAATTTTTTTATGCATTTTAACAAAGATAGATTCATAAGATTTCAATCTTTACTCTAGCCTTGTACTGCATTTAATTTATACTATGACAATGTTAGCTTATTTGCATAATAATATATAACATATTACAGAGTAGACCTCAACTATATATTTTGTTAAAAATTAATATGTTAAAAACTACAGAAATTTTCAATAAAATTTTCTGTTTTAATTGAACTAAGAAATTTAAATTTAGTTGAAAACTTTATTTTATTTATGAAGTAAAAACTAGGCTAATATGTAAATTATTATTTATTCGATATTCATTAATACTACATTTAAATACATGAAGTATTTATCTTACAGTTAAAACAGAGTTAATACTTGATCTCCCCTTTAAAAATAAATGAAAGAAAAGATACCTTCAAAGCTGCTATGTGGAAAATGTATTGGTAATTTCTAAGCAATATAATAGACATTTATATTTTTAAAAATTACTTTAAATTATAAATTTTATTTTAACTTTAAAAGTTAATTTTAATTATTTATTTAATAATTCTCATTTAAAATTGTAATAATACAATTATCTTAAGACATAAAAAAACTAATTTAAATCACAAACTCTGATTGGTACCGCATTCAGAAAATGTCTTATCAATTTCCATTAAAATTATATTCAAATTTCAATGAAAATCAAGCTCTTCCAGTAGAATAACTATAATCAACAAATTTGGGACTATTAAGAACCTTCTTAATACACAGTTGGTATATTATTTTGGAATAATTTGGTCTACAAGAATTATGTCAAGGAAACCAACGGCAAAAACATTTTAGTTAAAAATAAAAATGTCTGCAAAACATCACAAAATGCATTTATAATAGCAGTTTTGTTTTGTTTTTAAGATATGAATTGCAGTTTTAAGTATGAAAAGCAGTGTGGTTGTACTGGATACACATATATAGATAAGCTAGCTGTGGTATGATATTAAGCGATCTTAACACATTATTTCTATATAAATTGAAGAACATATCCTTTGGGATTGAAATTTATTCTACATTATGGAAGTCTATACATGATACACATTCAATTATATATAATTAGTGATATTTAAATATACCAATAGGCAATTTAATGCACTTTAATCAATGACATTATTAGTAGTAAAACTTTTAAGACAATAAAGTTTGAATAACTGCTTTCTCTCACAAATTTAAATGTTATACAAAATTTTGAAATTTCTGCATAAATTTTCTAAGACAGCAAAAAGGATTATCCCAAATCACAAAGTTTCTTTTGCTTTAAATTTCTGGGAGAGAAAAATATTTTCCTTCCATCAAAATAAAAATATTTTTAAAAATACGTATGCAAATATTTTGAAAGTTTATGTTGTATATATTGATCATAAACTACAGAAAAAAGTGTTTTAATTCCTAACATTACTTAATATAAAGCAAATCAAATGAAACACAGAAAGCCATTAACAAATTGAAATCAATTTTAATTTAAATTCACACAGCATATTAGATTTATTTGTAATCACAGATCCAAAATTGTGAAATATCACACATCAGTGACATTAAAGATGACTCATTAACACAAATATACATAAATATTCCAGTTATAGAACTCAAACTTTTTAAGCTACAAATGCCTCAGAATATACATGTGTATAAATTTCATTTTAGATAAAACTTGTTTACTGAATCAACACTTCATGATAATATTCCCCAAAAAAACTTACATCGAAATTTTTTTCACCTTCTATTATCCAATTTTTTTAATGGCGTATAATTTAAAAGAAACATAACATAAATTACCCATACCACTATTCTACGTAGAAAGAAAAAAACCGTTGAAACAAATACCCCTATTATATGGAAGAGCTTTTTGGAAATCAAGGAATATGGTAATACACACAAAGTCTATAGAATCATACACGTGTAAAGAAAGAAAAAGCTTTTAGATAGTAAATACTACGCACCTGAGTAAACATTTACATTCCTGGATATCCAAATTTGAATTTATACGAATTTAAAGTAAATGAATAATTGTAAAATTTTATCTTAAATGTTACACGGTGGGAATTAATGATATTTAATTATACAGTATATTATTAAATCTGCAAGTTTTTAAAGCTGGATTACATGGATAAAATTTTAAATATACAGTTTGAAGCCCACAACAGTCAATTTACCTTTTAATAAGAGAAAAATTGAAAAAAAATTTTTTTTTTCTATAGTGACTGAATTTATTTACACTGTAAGAAGTAACTGAATTTAAAATTACAACATTAGTTAACTTCTCGCTTACTGTATGATATACAAATAGCGGTACAAAATGGGTGTTGCCAATTATAGTATTAAGAATAGTAAAACATGACTCTCAAATATTCAAAATTATTGCTCTATTCTTCACACAGATCGTATTTTATTCTCGAGTGTCAAAGATGTAGAAACATCTTTTTACTCGACTTCTGATAACAATCTAGAAGGAAAAGAAAGAGGAGCAGTGTAGTAGGAGGTGTGGGATGGGTGGGAAGCGTCACTAGAAAATTATGTAAAACTCCAGACTACTCATACAGATTGCGATTGCTCATAATATAATACTTAAAACTGCAACTAGCTCTTTTCTCTTTTATTATAGCATTTTATGATTATCAATAGTGTGAGTAGTATCAGTTATGTGATTTCTCAATATGATCGACATTTGAGGACACGGTCACATTTTATGAAAAATATGCTTATTCTTTTTGCGGAAAGAGACACAAAGGCTGAAAGTTACTGAGCTCCAGATCCGAAATACTAAATGGACCTTTCATACATTTCCCCTATGTTCCCAAAAAGTTCCTTCAGTAACTTAGGCTTGCACAGCAGTCTATTACATCATCATACGTCAGCCGGTTTGGCGTTATTCGGCTCCATATTTGAATCCGATTCCCAAGTTTCTGAAAACTCACATTTTATTCAATAACTTATTATATAAATGTATTTAGTTTTCGTTCTGCACACAATAGCTGATAATTATTTAATTTAAAAGGAACTTTATAACTACCATTTCCAACAGAGCACTTGAACTGGTGTCATGCATTCAGGTTGCTCAGAAAATAAACAGTAGAGCGTACCAAATTTTTTGGGGGGTGGTCACAGAATGTGCGTCTGGAAATGACACACCTAAATTTCCAGTAGGTGCCTCAGGTTATGCAGCCAATGACATCTGAAGATAAAGGCGTTTTCTCCTTTGGGATTTCCGCAGCATGCATTGCTTTAGAAAAGAATAGCTAGCTTCCGTTGGCATAATGAAATGTCGGCCATATCCTAATTAAAGGAGCCAATTTGGAGCAACCAAGGCTGTTCTCCGAACAATATCCGAGAATTTGTGACATAAAACATAATGTGATGTGCTCTTCTTGATGATTGGCTGCTGTGGCGCATCTTTCGCATGCATGTACGAAATGCTACGACCTGCATTTTTTGGTCCCAGAATATCTGCACTTCATATATTATCTAATGTTGACAAGGCTTCACAAAAACCAGATTGTCCAGTCAACACCTCCTTACAGAAGAATAATCCATAAGAATCCTTACAGAGGTTCTGTAAGGAGGTGTTGGTCCAGTACACGAATAATCTCCTGAGAAGAGTGCTTCTGCGAAAGCAAGTTACCAAACTCATTTTGGACCTAACTTTTCGAAATGATTTGTGCTATACTAATTTTTTTTCTCTTTTACAGATTTTTAACGCATTTTTTTTTGCCCAAGGAGGACGATGGTGCGGGTTTTAGCAACACCGACTCTACTTCAAGCCTAAGCCAACACCGACTCTACTTCAAGCCTAAGCTCGCGGTTCGAAAATTCGTGTGACGTCACGACTTCTGGTGCAACACCGTAGAGTCGGTGTTGGTTTTAGCTAAGGCTCCTATAAACCTATAGCTAAGGTTTAGAGGAGTATAAGTTAGCAAGGCCAACTTATACTCAAGGCCTGCCAGACTGAACGAAATTCCGGTTCCCAGTTTTCAGTGGCTTTCGCGAAATTCATCACTAGGTGGCGCTCGCATTCTGCTACAATTTTGCTATACGCTCACTATTTGTAACGTGGTTCGTTATTAACAAAAAGTGTATTTTATGGCTAGCTGCTGTATATTTGAAGGCTATAACATAACGAGCTTGGTTTTTTTGGGTAACTTATGCATATAGGTTTAAAATTGTGTATATACGTCATTGAGTATAAGTTGGCCTTGGTTTTAGCCCTTTCCCTACGTTTCTTCAAAGCCGACGTCATGTAAAGGCCAACTATCTCTAAGCCTTAATCTCTAGTTGTCTAGTCTTGCGTCATGTCCCGATTTTCGCCTATAGCGCATGCGCAATAGGAATCTCATCCTCTCCGGACTGAAAAAAAAAAAAAAATGAACTCTTTGGAAGTTCGTTCTTTTCATCTTTTAGTTTAATAGAATTCTAATGCTACGTATGTATTTTAATTTATGGAAGGAATTTATTCTTTACAAATTGGTGCTTAATAATCATCTGAAGACACCAAAGGTTAAAGCCCACAGTGGCCGAGTCAAATGTTTTGTTATCCTTTGGCAACAGCGAGATTGGCGGACGATTTTCAATTTTGTTTCGTTCATGTGATTTAAATGTGGGTTTTGTTTGCATAATTCATCTGTTATTGATTTGGAGCAAACGTTTTAGGTTTTCAGCGGAATCCGGGACAGTAATACATTTTAGAGGCATAACTGTGTTAACTGTTTGAAGGCATTATTGTGAATTATATATGTATATTTTATTTGAGGTAGTGTATGTACAGAGTATAGTTTTGGAATTAGCTATCTAAATATTTTGGGACATTATAGTACATTTTTTGTTATAATGTATAAAATTAAAATTATTTAACTGTTTAGATTACTTGGGTATAAAAATATATTAAAGGCATATTTTTTTCTTGATTAGTGATGTCTCAGCCTGCTGAAACGAAATCTGGATTTTATGGCCCTGATGTTCAAGATAACACAGATGAAGAATTGCAGAAATTCCTAATATCCTTTTGAGAATTATTTTGAGGTAGTCTGTTGCTGATTGTTTTAAAATTTAAAAATATTTTATGAGGTAGCAATATTATTTTTTTATTTTTATTAACATTAAATTTGGTTTTCTTTCATATGTTGTTTCGCATTCACATATTTTTTATGTATTACTGCAAAATTTCCTATTTCAGTAAATTTCTCATGCACTATTCCTCAATAAATGTGTATGAACTATTTCTACGAATTTTCTATTTTTATATCTAAAGCAATAAAATTTAGAATAATGTGTGAAAAACTGGCATGCCATATTATATATATATATTTTTGATTTTATGATAATTAATTGATATTATTCTAATAACATATTGGCTTTTGTTATGTTATCGGGACTGGATTCGAAAATGTTTGTATGAATGTGTTCATGTGTAAAAATACATATGTTAGGACAATGGTATATATATAAATCTAATATATATCCTAAATCGTACTTTTGAGACATGAAAAACACATTGCCATTGCCCACAGTCCAGCTTCTTGATCAGGAAAGAGAGATACAGAAATCTTAGTTAGTCCAGAGAAATTTGCATTTATAGCACGCCTTCTTCCAGTACTATTCAGTTTCGAGGGCCGTAAAAAAATTGCAGCGAAAATGTACGCGCAAAAGTGCCAAATCTAGCAAACGCGCCCATTTAAAAGCGCGCCAAATCTAGCGTACACACTGATTTCAGATTGCATAAGTTTATATAGTTCTATATTTCTTAAGACGCCATGGAAATACTAGTTTAATTTTTAAATCCTTTTTTGATATCCTATGGATTTAACAATTTGGGAATTGCCCATGATGAAAACTTGGCAATAGAATTTTGAGTAAAGTGCAGAATCACCCACTGCTTGACACGTTATTAAGAATTGCACATACTCGGTATACATGTGCACATCGACCTAGTTTCACTTTAAAAAAAAATCCTAGAATTGCACAAAAATGGCACTGCGCACACCTTTGACTTTATTTATGTACACATCGACCTATTTTCGCTTAAAAAGTAAAAGAAAAGAAAATTTACAAAAATCCAATTGTTTTTACCCTTGTAAAAAGCGGTAAACAAACAAGTGAGCGATTCTGCACTTTAACAAGAATATTTTCAAAGAAAAGGCATCACTTTTTATAGAAAATTACGTTTGAACAACCAACGAGATGAAATTATCCTTTAGCGATAACTCGGTAGCGAAATAGCGATGCAGGCATCCATTCAGTAATATTTAGCAAATTTTATATAAATTATAATAATGATCTGAAGTAGTTATTTACTCTTATGCTTCCATTCAGTCATGTTTAGCCGTTTTCATATAAATTATAATAATAAAAGGTAAAAGTATAGTTTATGGTACCCCTTGGCGATTTTTGGTGGTACATGGATACCGATTTTGTGCAATTCTTTGACTCATTATTTCGGCTTACAAATGCGCCAAAAATCACCCCTACACAAAGCCAAAATAACAATACAAACAATTGCACAAACTCTGTATCCATGTACACATCGACTTATTTTCACTTTAAAAAAATCTCTGAATCGCACAAAAATAGCATTGCGCACTCCTTTGACTTTATCCATGTACACGTTGACCTATTTTCACTTAAAAAAAAATCCTAGAATTGCACAAAAATGGCATTGCGCACTCTTTTAACTTTATCCATGTACACGTTGACCTATTTTCACTTTAAAAAAAAATCCCAGAATTGCACAAACTTGCATTGTGCACTCCCTTTACTTTGTCCATGTACACATCGATATATTTTTCACTTAAAAAGTCAAAGGAGCACCAAATTCTAAAATATAGGCAAACAAAAAATGCATAATCTCAATAAAATACATTTTAAACCAAACAATAAAATAACATAAAGGAAAAACATGTTATACATTTAAGCACTACCAAAAACAAATATTCACTTACCATGATTTTCGAGTCCGCTTTGTACACCCAGAGCCATGTAAAAATCAAAATATCAATCATACTCAAATGACTTTTTCAAACCAGGTACTCTTTCTGATCGAACGCTTCGAATAGTGACCATCTGAACCTTTCTTCCTACAAACCCATTCAAATCCATCTAAACGGTTTTTACGTTCGACTAAACGCATATCCTTCCTACATACAGGGCACTACAATGGCTACTAAGTAAACCTTCATTTACACACCAGTCAATTAAAGCTCTTTTCCCCTTTCGCTCGAAATCGTACTTAACTTAAAATGGCTTAAAATTAACTTAAATTAACTTAAAATGGTACTTAACTTAAAATGGCCGAATGTAGTAACATTCGGTCATTCTACCGTCTAAAGAATCAAACCAACGCACACCACAAAAATGTTTACAAAACATCCCATGATTCAAAATTTCCCAGAATCATGCACCCGATTACGTTACGATAGGGTTTCCATAACATTCAACTACTCAGGCTACCATAAATGAAACAACAACTTGGCGATAAATCAAACAACAATTTCGCCATAATACAAGGGGTACCTTAAAATCTACTCTACCCTAATAAAAAGTATTATATGAAATTAACCTTTCATCTATATTAAAACATCAATCTTAAATAGTTATTTACTATTATACTTCCTTTCTTGCCGCAATTATTAGGGTTGCCGTAATTATTTTTCGCAACATTGGCATCAACAATAGTTTGGAGATTTTTTACAACCCTCGAAACCGAATAGTACCCTTCTTCCTTTTGTTGAATATTATGTTCTCTGCTACTAGATTTTGTAAGAGGAGGGGAAATTTATATTACTTTTTAGCACTAGAGTTGCTATTAGTCTTGAAACTCAATTTTTGTCTGTATCACTTTTGTGTTTGAATCACTTTTCAAATTGCTGCCAGCAAATGTTGTCACCAGGTGATACAGACAAATTGAAATAATGGAGAATCTGTATGCATATTTGTATGTTCTTCGCTTTGTGGAGAAGTGATGGCACCTACAGCTACTGAATTTTTAAGTAGTCCTCCACCTGAACATGGGCATCTTAAAGCATGGATCTGGAATTTGCTTTTGATTTATTTCATATTTTGTAAAATTTAACAATTTTTGTTTTAAAAAAATCAGCAGTTCGAAAGCAAGAAGTGGCAACACTTTGAAATTAAAAAAAATTTATTCTTTTTTATGATAAGTCTTTCAATCGACTGGCCACTGGAGCATCTAGTTCTCAAAAAAGTGATATAGCGAGTATAAAAAAAATTTTTCGACAACCCCTATATCGGGAAGTCTAGGATGTGCTCTTTTAAAATATTTTGTGACTATGCTGTTGAATTTCTTGTGGCTTAAATGCATAGAAAGTGATGTATAATAATGTTATAACAATAAAAATGTTTTGCAAGCAGGAGGGAGTCCAAGAGCAAATTTGTAACCTGCGATGCTGAGCAATATGTCCCTGATATGTTGGCAACTAATACAGTTGTAGTAGTGTAGTATCATACAGATGTCAGGAGAAATTTGTACAAAATGTAGGTACTTATGCCATCAAACATGAGACTTATGCCGAGCAACATAATTTAGTGCCAGTTGTGATTAAGCATGGTGTCACAAGAGATGAACATCTGCACTTATGCTTGACGTAAACCTGACCGATTCTTAATAAACCATCTTTTGTGTTTAGGAACAAGAATATAAATTAACTGTTACTACTGTATTTTTTCTTACATTTCGGGAAAAAAGGGAATTTGAGGGCTGTAGAATCATATTTATGATGCATTTAGGTTCATTTTACAGCTTAAGAGGATTAACGTCTGTTGAACAACAGACAGTAACAGATGTGGCCAACAAAACAGTAACAGATTGGAACAATCACCATGGTGAGTTTGTATTCATAGAGTGAATCACTGGAAACAGAGCTTCCAGTGAAATCAGAAGGCCTAGCAAAATGGTAAAAATTTATGAAAGCCTTTTTACGAAGTAGGTTGAACACATCCGCAGCAATGGCTGTTTGGTGGGTAATGCAGAGAGACAGACAAATATATTATTGTAAGAGCTTCAGATAGAAGTACAGGATTGATTGATGTAACTTTCTTGGAATTTCCATGAACTTTCATGGTTCAGTGGTAGCCAACTTTCACTGTTGATGAGATAATACGCAAGTACCCAAATATGTTGATTGTATAGTTGGGCTTTAATGATGATTAAGTTTATTTGTCTTACTTATTTCCTTAATAATAATTAAATATATTTTTTGGATGAGAAAGAGCCACATGTAAAAGCAGGCAAGTACAGTTTTTTTTTTTTTTTTATTTTCATTTGTGCAGTTACAATCATTTGAAATTTTTAAAAAACTGATAGAATAAATATCAAAATTAGGCAAACTGCTGACAAAATTATATTATCTGTAAAAAACTTCTATAGAAATTAATATATCTATTTTTGAATTAAAAGGCTGAGGTTTATTTTAACCAGGTAATAGTAATAAGGAATTTTCTAAACTGTATGTGTTTCATCTGTGTGTGTTGGAACTTTTATAAATTTAAGTTCATATATGCTTCCAAGTGCATATTTTGTACAGTCAAAAGTCGTTAATTCGGACCTCAAAGCTAAAAACTTTCTGCACGTGTGCCGCGTTGGCACATGCGCACAGACGTTTTACGCGTGCGCGTAAGACCTTGACTACTGCGCATATGCATGTGCGCAAGTGCAGAATACGTTTTCGCCTGCGCGTTTAATGTATAACGGGGTGTAAGCTAAAATTATCTAATCTATTTCAGTTAATGTTAATGATTGCGTTGTTCCTTAATCTTCGAATTGGATCCCGCTTATTATTTTTTGCAGACTGTAAGAGCAATTTTATAAAAGTAAACTTGAACTTTTGATTATGTCAAATAGAATTTCCGATGCTGGAACTTCCAAAGGATCTACAAAACGAAAGTATGTTTCGATGTCCAACAAACAAAAAAAATGAATTGCTGCAAAAAATGGATAAAGACATGAAGAATGTGACAGAGAGGTTAGTGAAAACAAAAAAATTTCGATTGACAAGTTAGTCGGTATTCTCGGCACAGCAATTAACGGGACTTGAATAGCGGGACTTTGTAACTGAACAAGAAATTATGTCTGTTTATAGAATTAAAGAGAAAGTATTATCACATAAAATGAAGCAATTTAAACAACTTACATTGAAAGAAATGTTTAATAAAGTAAGCAAATATATATTATGCTTTTTTTTTTTTTTTTTTTTTTTTTGTAAATTTTGATACCTTTAGATCATAATTGTTCTTTATTTCATAAATTACGGTTTCATATTTTTAATTTTAGAATTTCTGCATGCCATCTTACGAGATTTAAACTGATGATCTATAATCCGGAAAAATCGATAATCCGGAATCGCCGAAGTCCCGACGAGTCCGGATTAACGACTTTTGACTGTATTTGAAAAGTTCAAGCTGAAATGTGGGTGATTATTTTATGCTACATCAGGGATAAATAGAAGGGCTAGGTCATTCCTTTGTTCGACTTGTCGCCGACGCGAGCCTCATGGAGGGGGGAACTGGAAGTAATCTGACGTATCTCTGTTGCACCTGCTCTGATTTCGCGCCTTTAAAACTGTAGTTTCATTCAGTTGAGAGACGATTTTCTGAAGGTCGCATATCCCAAATTAATTTTAATCATACATATTTGTTTTCTAATAATGCAAATATTTAAAATAATTTGTGTATATATATATAGTTTTAGTCAGTTTTCCTTTTAAATTCTATATTTAAAGTATCCTTTATGTAATATGGCTTCTTGTGCTGTAGCAACGTGCCGTAACACTTAATCGAAATACGAAAGGAAGAAGAGATATTTCATTCATGCTTTCCCCAAGGACAATTTGCTTTTGACGAAAGGATGGATACATAAATGTCGAAGACAGGATTCTGTTAATGTGGAAAACACAAGAATTTGCAGCGAACATTTTCTGTGCAGTGATTATGAAGATGACATGAGAAATCGCTTGCTTGGATTGCCGCAAAAGAAACTGTTGAAATGCAATACTGTGCCGAAAGTAAATTTATCATGTGCAGTAAACGAAATAACGCCAAGAAATCGGAGACATTTTAAAAGAAAACTAATGCAGAGTGCTTTTGAAAGACTACACGAATTAAGCCCAAAGAAAATTTATTTTGAGGCCGAGAACGAAATTGAAGCTGACAATAAAAAATCAAATGTGAATGATTTTGAAATAAAACTCACAAGTGACAATGCCCTAAGTGTAAAGATGAACAAGAATGCATTGATAATTTGAAGAACAAAATAATATCCTTAGAAAATTGTAATAAAATATTGAAAAATAGAGAGAAGAAAAATTTTAAAATGTTTGCTCAGCGACAAAGAAGGTGGACGACATCTAGAAAGAATTTTGTGTCGGAAATTCAGAAATTAAAATCCCAAACAGCGAAATTTAGAAAAAAACAGCATAGATCGGAGAATTTGGAAAAACATCTAAAGTATATTTTTACAAAGACGTAGATTAACACATTGCTAGAAAAGAAGGAAAAAATCAGGTGGACTAGTGAAGATATTTCACGTTGCATTGTCATAAGAGCTCTGTCATCTAAAAGCTACGATTTTTGGAAGGAAAAAATGGGAATTCCTTTACCTAGCACTAGCACATTAAAGAGATGGTGCTCTAAATTTTCATGTAGTCCAGGAATTCAGAGTGATGCTCTTGCTGTAATGAAGGAAAGATGCGATTATTTGAATTCTGTAGAAAAAATATGCGTTCTCAGTTTCGACGAAATTCGCATAGATTCTAAACTCTGCTATGACTCTAAACTGGACCAAATTCTCGTTCCTTTTCAAAAAGTGCAGTTTGTTTTAATCAGAGGTCTCATTTCGCAGTGGAAACAATCAATATTTTTTGATTTTAACACTCCAATGAAGAAAGAACTTCTTTTTTCACTCATAAGACATATTCAATCATCTGGAGTAGAAGTGAAAGCAATAGTGTCTGATTTAGGAGGATCTAGTACTTTGTGGAAAGAGTTACAGATTTCGATTAATAGTTCTCAGTTTCCAAATCCAGTATTGCAAACGAAAAAAATATGGGTTTTTGCAGATTTAGCGCACTGCCTCAAATCAATTAAAAACCACTTTTTAGATAAAGGATTTGTTTTAGAAGATGGAACTGTTTTAAATGTTGATATTATTAAAGATGTTTTAAATAAAGATTCAGGAGAAATTAAATTGTGTCACAAACTAAAACCAAATTATTTAATGGTCAAGGAGAAACGAGAGACAAAAAGTCGCTCCAGCGAAAACATTATTTTCAAGAACTACAGCAAAAGGTATACTCCACCTCACAGGAAATAAAAAAGCATCCGACTTCTTTGAGTTAATCGACAATTTTTTCGATATTATGAATAGTACCAAAACATACCCTCCTTCAGATAAAATACTTAAAGCAGCATTTGGATTAAATGAACATCATGAAAAACAAATTCAAGTTTTGGAATTAATGAAGAAAGTCATTGGTGGATTAAGAGTTCAGGGAAAAGCCAACTTACTGCCTTTCCAAAAAGGAATAATAATTTCAATAAATTCTCTTTTTGGCCTACACCAGGATTTGAAATCATCGTATGATGCTAAATATATTTTAACCTCTAGATTAACTCAGGATGCACTTGAAAGTCTCTTTAGTCAGATTCGAGGGCTTGGTAGGTTTAATGACCATCCATCACCTAGTGAAGTTATACGCCGCTTAAAGCAATTAATACTCGCTAATAAGCTGCCAAATTTATCTTCAAAAGTATGCATGACTAAAGAAAGCAGAAATATTGATTCATATTTAACATCCGAAATACTTGAAAGGGCTTTGAAAACTGAGGGGGAGATGCTTTTCCATTAAATACTATTGATGATTTGGATTTGGATTTCATAGAGGAACCTTCTCCTATGGCTTGGGAATTAGAATTGAATTCCGACAGACAATTTTCGACAGCCGAAAAAGAAGCATTAACATATGTTGCAGGTTATATTGCCTATCGTGTGCGAGACAAAGACCCATCATTGGGAACAATATCTAAAAATAGTGCTGATGAACCAATATTTAATTCAGAATGGATTAAATTATTGTCCTTAGGAGGTTTGACTACACCTTCTCATTCATGGATGAATACAGTTTATGAGTTCGAAAACATATTTTGTGCAGTTCATGGTACAACTTACTATAAAGGGAAGCATGTAATTGGCTCTTTAATTAATAAACTGGAGAAACATTATCCTGAAGTTAACAGAGAAGCAATTCGTTTATTTTGCAGAGTGTGAGAACTTTTATTAGAATACGTTTCTTAAATAGAAATGCATATGTTTTTTCCCAAAGAAAAGCAACCCAAAAGGCAAAAAAATGGATTGCTTCGAATGTGGCAGCCAATAAATAATGTTTCAACAACTTGTAGTTGCATTGCGACTGTACAAGTAAGCATATATAATATGTTTTGATTTGAAATATTTCTAGATGACATTTTAGAAGTTAATAGCGTAAAGCATATTTCAAATGAGAACTAATTCTGTTAAGTTATTGTTACAGTTATTTTTATTGTATCCTCTGTTATTATTGATTCGATTTTGTGCTAGCTTAGCATTCTAGATAAATATATATAAAGTATAATATTAAAGTAATTGGCATAAGAAGACCTGCCCCCTAACCCCCACTTTTGAAAAATAATTATTTTAGGTACTGTGAGTAAAGTTGTTTTGTCTAAATTAAGATAACAATCTTACATGTATTTATTTAAATGAAATATTGATGTAAGCCTAAGTTACAAAATTATTTTAAAAAAATGTATGTTATTATATTGAATCGGAGAAAAATATGCCAATGTAAAATTTACAATTAGACTGAAACTCAAACTTAGATTAGCAGAAATTTTGGCATATATGTTTAAATATACATGTTTAAAACTATGCCAATTTAGAAGCATTAGTACAGTTCTCTTAGTTAACATGCAGATAAAGAAATGATTAGAAACAAACAGGCATTTAAAGAAAAAAAAAAAAATCCCTGCAAATAAAAAAAGGAACTTAATGCTAAGAGTAGCGCATTTTATCTATTATTTTAAAATTGAGTAAGTACTATTAAATTTTTTAATGTTCAGTGTAAAATGCATACTGCAGTAACATTGTCTCTTCCAAATTATAGCTATCTTTCACACACAGCTCATTTTAAACGCTGGTTCTTCAAATTTAAAACGCTAATTTCTATGTTGTCAATTGCATCCCCGCGCTCAGTGGCATCATTGCTATGTCATCACTCCCCGCAGCCTGTTTCAGGGGGAACCACTCTATGACGTAGCCCTTCTCTTTAGTCCTGATGCTACATAAGAAATATATTTTGCGCAAAGAATGATGATTTATCCCCTTTTCATGCAGAAAAACTTCTAATTTTTGCAAGATCTTATCTACCTGCTTCCAGTCAACAAGCATCTTGCAAAACAAGATCTGACTTTTTTTGTAACCTAATTACTCAAGTAAGTTTCGGTTTTTATTTAATATGAAAGTATACTAAGGCTGAATTATAAGTTGTTAGTTGGATTTATGATGTGGAGGATATTATATAGCAAGTAACAAACATTTTTTAAATATCTAAAGTTTTAATTTTATAAAAGCTAATAAATTTAAATTAAAATATTATAATTTATTTAAAGAAATATTGTTTTCTTCCAAATGAACTGATTTGACATTATTGTATGTAATGCTGATCATTGTAATTGGATTTTTTTAATGGAAATGTGCAAGAAAATTAGTCTTGTGCTGTTCTAAAATTGATTGTTTTCATATTTTATTAAAATTTAATTGAAATCCTTTTTGTTATTTTTTAATAATAATTTTGTGAATATTTTTCATAATTTATAAAACTTCCATATAATAATGTTACTGATATTTTCTCATAGTTTGTAAAAAAAATTATTGGGTTTTATTTTATTTTCCTAACAGTTAATTTTTATTTTGGAAACAGCCTTTCCTTTGTACCCTCATTTTCCTACCCATACTTTCTTGCCAAGAGAAGTTTTCAATTTCACACTTTATGCAAAGTGTGGTAGAAAATACTATTTAAGCTGGGGTCTGAGATACTTTAGCTCAGGTGAAATGATTGCTGAATCGGGCTCCCATGTGTAAACTCTATCCCAGACAAACCACGCTTGAGTAATTTTGAATGTGTATGTACTTCGAAAGTAAAACAGGTGGTCAGTTTTAGAGTAGATACCTAGGAGACATTTCCTAGGTATTGAAGGTGAAAATTTGCTAAGCAAAGAGCCAAAAGAGACTTGAAACATAGCCTGTAGATCACTAAGGTTGCACAACATCATTTGGATAATAAAACAAAAATTGAAATAACAAGCCGTAATACTAGTAATTATAATAGACAGAGTACATTAAAGACCCAGGCCAGTTTCAAAGCAAAAGAGAACAAGCATCAGCAGTACTACGAGTATAGCATATAGAATTGCAAGTCTAGTCTAATTATGAGCATTAAGTCCTTCAACCTCATTGAGGATTTCATACCGTATAAACATTTTATCTATGTTAGTACATTTTCTGATACTGTTAATTCTGCTTTTATAAATTATAATAATTTGGTTAAGTTGTGGCCAAAGGCTCGATGAAATTCCTTTAGGACCTGTATAAGCTTGGATAACTCAATAGCACTGGTAGTTCTTCAGGGTTTTGAATGGGGGTAATGGTGATGGCAGCTTGTGTATCAGACTCAAAGGAGCTATTTCATGTTTTCTGAGAAGCAGTCTTCACCTTAAGTGCCTGTCCATAAGTTATGCCTGGCTTAATTTAGGAGGAAATTTAGCATTTTTTAGCTGATGGAAACTTCGGGAAACTTCTATAAGATGCAACGTGTGGACCAAGACAGTTTGCACACTTTGGATTCTCCAGGCGCTCCTGGTGCACAGTTACTAGTTCTGTAGAACCCAGCACGCTTAATACACCTGGGAGCTGCATGGCAATTTTTGCAAGAAGAATTCCATTTCTGGCAATTGTGACATTGGGGAACCTAGTTCTTTGCAATATACTTTTCAGCCTTAATTTGGAAGAGCAAAAGATCTGCCATGTCATAAATTTTAACAAAATCGCAGTAGGCATTAATTGCACCTGAAATAGAGACTGGGGCTTTGGTATGATATTTTGTGAGTTGCACGACTTTGTGCACAGTAAAACCTCTCTCAGTAAGAGCTTCAGTAATGATACTTATATTAGAGTTAGAGGGCAGACCTCTCAGCAGAACCATAACAGGCTTATACTTATGGTTAATTACACAGTGCTCTATATTGTTATCTGAGAAATATTGACTAAGTGTACGGTGACTATCAGCATCTTGGGGTAGAACTTTTAAAAATTCACCTTCAGATGGCCATAGAAGTTGCACCTAAGTAGTTTGTCCCTTAAAAACCTAAGAAAAGCATAAAATGTAACTCCCTGTCTAGGCTTTGTCATTGTTAGATATGGCAGTAAATATTCACCATTTTGTCCATTCATAAACTCATTTTTACATAAAATAATCTCTGTAAAAAATTTAAACACCACAAAACATGTTTATTCTACAAGAAAATAAATAAATAAATAAATTTAAAAAAATTAACATATTACAACAGGTTCCTCTCAAAGCAAAACTATAGGGAAAGTAATACTGCACTGGTTGAATGTAATGAACAATGCTATACGTAGCATACTCCCACCTTTTGATAACAGGATTTTTAACAAAACAAATATTTAATTAAATTCAGTTTTAACCTAAAAGTCCATTTTAAAGTTCACTTAAAAGTCTAATTTAAAGTTCAAAGTCTTTGAATGTAGAAGGTTTTTTTTAATAGCTCGACCACTTCTGGTAACTCTCTCTTTCAGTATCTCTTGGAGACTTGTAGGGATATTTTCTTGTTCAGTATCTGTTTTTTCAGGATTTTCTTCGGATTATGGTTATATTTCGAAACAATATAAGTGTTGAATTGGTCTTAAATCTCTCCATTTCATGCCTTTTACCAGTCTGATGTTACTGTCTTTACTGAAATACAATTAGACTATTCGTTCGAAAGGACAAAATGTTCCTCCTTATCTTTGTTTTTGATTAAAACTATGTCTCCAACTTTTAATTCATAAGATGACTTTTTATTTGTTTGCTTGAGCATGAAATTTCCTAGATGTTATACTCTAAAACATTTTCTCAACTCTTTGTTGGCACCGTAACCTTCTAGTTAAATTTGTCTTTTCTATATGTTCAAGATCTGGCAAAGAAAATGTTCTCATTGCTTTTGCACTGTGTCTTCTACAAACAATGCATTTAGAAATACACTGACTACCAATAAGTATGTGGACACCTGTGATAGAAAAGAAAAACTAACTTTATTCAAAATCAATAGTTGGTAGAGATTCCACAAGAGGTAATTACAGCGTGGACCCTCCGGGGCATACTTTCTACAAGTCTTTGTATGACAGCTAGTGGTATTTTCTTCTACTCGGCTTGGAGAAGACATAGAAGTTCCTTCACCGATTTTGCACGGATAGTGCACCCCTGAATTCGGCGATGCAACTCGTACCAGAGGTTCTCGATAGGGTTCAGGTCTGGACTCTGGGCAGGCCAGTCCATTCGATGAACTCCATTGGCACCATACCAAGCCTTGGTTAACGTTGAAACATGAGAACTGGCATTGTCGCCCTGAAAGTAACAAAGGTCCAACCCGTAAAACTGCCACAACGTAGGAAGCACATTGTCATCCAAAATAGTGCAGTAGGCATCGGAGTTGAGCTTACCATGAATGGGGACCAAGGGTCCCAGCCTATACCAGGAGAAACACCCCCAGACCATAATTCCACCTCCGTCGAACTTGACTGTTGGCACAATGCATTCTGGCAGGAGACGTTCTCCAGGTAGACGCCAGACCCAGACCCTGCCATCCGAATTGTAAAGGGTGAACCTTGATTCGTCACTTCAAAGAACCCGTTTCCACTGATCTGCAGTCCAATTTCGATGTGCTTTGCACCACATTAACCAAGAAGCGCGGTTGGACTTTGTGATCAAAGGCTTATGGCCAGCAGGACGACTATGAAAACCAAGCAGATGTGCTTCCTTACGGATGGTATTCATTGAAACAATACTCCCGGATGCCTGTTGAAACTCCTCACGGATTAGGGCCATCGGTTAGGTTGATTTTTGTTCTTCCAAATTTCTCTGGACAGCACTTGTCGGTCTCTATCTCCCAGTTTCGTTGGTCTGCCGACTCAGGGCACATTCCAACAATCACCGCTCACCTTCCACTTCTTAATCACATAGACCACTGTCGATTTTGGGTACTTCAGATCGCTAGATATGTCCCTTAAGGATCGGCCACATTTGTGATACCTGATAATTATACCTTTCTCGAAATCAGAGAGCTCCGAACTGCGAGGCATCTTGCATGCGACTAAAGCCGATGCTGTTTCCTACATGATATATACCAGCGGAGTCCGTGACGTACCTTAAAACCGCAGATATGGTCATTTGCATAGGTGTCCAAATACTTATTGGTAGTCAGTGTAGCTGCTCTTCTTGTTTTTCTACCCTTTATAATCCAAAATTTCTCTTGAAGACTGGTTAAGAGAATATGCAATTTAGCATTTTGTATTAATTGTGACTTCTATGAAATGTTGAGTTTCACTTTCTGTGTCCAATGAAGTGATACAGTTATCAACATAAAACAATCTGAATAACTTTTCTTCAATTTCTTTATGTTCGACAAATGACTTCTCCAAGAATAAACGGACTGCAGGTAACTTCGAAAACTACTCTTTGGTGCCTAAAAACTTGAATTTCTTTACTCTCACTGTCCTTCCACCACAGAAATCGAAGATAATTTCAATCTTCTTTGGCAATACTTATGTGTAAGAAGGCCATTTTTATGTCAGATATAACACCTATTCATTTTTCCCTAAATCTTACTAAGAATGAAGGTATTAATTCCTTTTTTAAGACAATCATTAAGTGAATGAAGTCCTTTCTTTCTATTTGATGCATCAAAAAATGGTCTAACCTTAGTTGAATTTTCCTTGAAAATCCCTCTGTGTGGCAAATAGCAACCAAATTTAGATAGTTCTCCAAGTGGTACTTTTTCAATTATATCTTTTTTTAACTACTACTCTAACACGTCAGTATATGCATCATATTTTCTTTCCATTTTTAACTTAGTTGTTTTTTTTCTAGTCTTCTTTCAGCTATATCTCTATACTCAGGATGATTTTTGTCATGTAACCATGGTAATTTCACTTCATATCTTCCCTCATCATCTTTTCTTAAATTTGCCACAAAATGATCGTTTATGACCATATCAATTTCTCTTCTAGATTTCAATTCAAATTGATATGTAATGCTAGTGGCTACTAATTCCCAGAGGTTTCTGTTATCTTGATTGTAAATTAAGAGGGAGCAATAAAATTTTCAGCTCCAGTTGTTGGTGATTTGCCCATCAAAAGCCAATCCAATCAGTGTTTC